GAGGCTGGGATTACAGATATATGTCACCAGTGCCTGATAGTGCTTTTTTTTTTTTTTTTTGCTGGTCGTGGAGCTTGAACTCGGCCTGGGCACTGTCCTGAGTTCTTTCAGCTCAAGGCTAGCAGTCTACCACTTGAGCCATAGCACCCACTTCCAGCTTTTTCTGTGTATGTGGTGCTGAGGAATCGAACCCAGGGTCTCATGCATGCAAGGCAAGCACTCTACCACTGAGCCACCTTCCCAGCTCCCTGATAGTGCTTTTTAAATTAAAAAAAAAAAAGAATAAGGCCTTGCAGAGAATTAATCAGTGGGGATAAAATGCATAATCACAAAGTGTGCATGCCAGGCACCATTGCCCAGGTCAAGAAATGGGACAGGGCCAGTGTTCAAGTCCCCTCCACACTCCCCAAAGGTAACCATGATCATTGCTATCACCATGACGAGCTTCACCTTTTGAAAATGTCCAGAAATGGAATTCCTCCATATGATTTGCCTCTTGAACTTCAGGTTTATGTGAGATTCATGCATGTTGTTGGGTGCAGTTGTAATTGGTTCTAATTTCTGTATTATTTTTTCATTTATAACAGTGTGTCCATTTTATGGCTAATGGACATGTGGGTTGTTTCTAGTGTTGATTACTACACATAATGCAGCAAAAGTACTCTGCAGCGTCCTAGAGAGTGTTTTTATGGATTTCTGGTGTGGATAAACTTGTGAGTGAAGCCGTAGAATCATGGGGTACATGTAGATTCAATTTTAGGGGATACTGCTTTAAATAAAAGGTATGAATTTACATATTGACCAATGACAAAGCAGAGTTTCAATTGTTCTGTGTCTTTGCTGCTAGCTGACTCTGTCCCTCACCTTAATTTTAGTCATTCTGGAAGGTGTGCTGTGGTATCACAATGTGGCTCTGGTTTGCATTTCTCTGATGACTAAAGGAGATAGGACATCCTTTCATTTTATTGCTGGGCATTGGATATCTTCCTGGGAGATTCTTCAGTTTCCTCCCAGTTTTACTTGATTGTCTTTTTCTTGTTGAATTATAGACATGCTTTTTTATGAGTCTATTTCAGATGCACCTATTATAAATTCCTTCTTCCACACTGTTTTATTTCTCCATTTCTTGATGATCTTTATTGATTTTCATTTCAATGTAATCATCTCTCTTGATTTCTTTTTTTTTATTGTGAAAATACCATACAGAGGGGTTACAATTACATGGGCAAGGTAATGAGTACGTTTCTAATCAAGCATTGTTGCTTCCTCCTTTGTTTCCCCTTCCCATCCCTTCCCATCTTCCCCCCCCACCCCCCCACTCTCCCTGACAAAGTTGTAAAGTTCATTTTTCGACGTAACGTCTTGTACATCTCATTGTTGCAATGGGTACACCTATATCCCTATTTAAACATTTTGTTTTTTCCTTTCCCCTCCACAAATTATACCAACATCAAATACAGTGAAAACAAGGATTATACTGTGGGGGAGTCTTGATTTCTTTCTCTTAGATCATGGCCCTATTAAACTGCTCTGAAGTTTTCCAGTGCCTTTAAGTCCAGTCTAAAAACACTGATTTCAACTGCTTTTCCTATGGAAGAAATGAGCAGAATTCTCTTAAGCAATTAGTGTTAACTTGTCAAGTTTTTTTCTTCTTCTGGCATTTCCATACATCTAAATATATATGCAAAATGTTATTTCCCGTTTAATATTACCAATAGCTTCTGTTGGTATTTTTTGTTGTGGTAGATGAACATTTAGCTACCATATACCTCTATTCCATAACCTCTTTATCTTTCCAATATAGTTATTATGTGATTTAATTCTTTAAGCCACATTCATTTTAATATGATATCAAGACTACCTAAAATATTATTCATGACAAATGTGCGTGGCTGGCAAGTAATTTTCAGTCAGTTGTGTTTGGGATGAAGAGTAGGATTCTTTTTGAAGTTTTCACAGCCCTGATAAATATTCTAAGATTGCCAGATAGTTTCCATTCAAATACAGCAAGCTCTAGGTATTCTTGGATGGAATTGCAGTGGTTCCTATTTTGGCATGGACCCCAAAGACTATGCTCTATGGATACCATACTTTGGATCTGGGAAGTGCCCCCTCCAGAGGCATGAATATTAAAGGCTGGGTCCCCAGAATGGCACTATTGGGAGATGGAGGGAATTTTGAGAGATGGAGCCTAGTGAGAGGTCTTTAGGTCATTGGGAACATGCCCTCTAAAATGTGGGACACACACACACTCTGTCTCTGAGATGACTATCTATGCTCTACCAGATATACTCACCACAGTGACCTTTCTCTTCCTAAAAGGACATTTGCTATAGTGATGGAATGCTGACTTTCTTCTCTGCTTTTCTCTGACTTTGAACTGCTGTGAAGCGAGTGCTGGAAAGACTTCTCAGCACACAAGGTCACAGCTGACTGCCCCGTAATTCACTCCTATCACAGCTCTGCTTGCTGTCTTTCTTCTTAGTTAAATGTGTAACAACTCATATAAAGGATTTGGGAAATGGCCTCAAAAAAAATTCCAGATGTTGGATCTGGTGATGGAAAGATCCATGGAGAAAAAATTAAATAAATTAAGAAGATGTTGGATCTTTACTAGAAAAGAGAATTTGTGGAATAGATTAGAGTGGTGTGTTGAATTTAATAGTGGTCAGAATGTATGATGTGGTGTGAAGAAGTTTCCTACAAACTCAGCATACAAATCACACAAGGTATTTTTCAGTGTGGGCCTGATGTTGTGATTTTAAGTGTGGGGCTAGAGAAAAGCTATGAGATGACCTCTTTCACAGGGGAAGGGTACATCCACATTTGCCATTTCAATGTCCCAGGGAGGGATTGGAAAAATGACATGGTCACCGTCTCTAAGGCCTCTGCTGCAGCAGGCTTCCACCCTAGTCCCACACACCTATCCCCAACTGGCAACTCTTGCCCACAGAAGTTCTGTCCTTGTGTTCTGATAGGGAGGCCTATTTGGCATCATGCTGGCCCTTGCAGCATGGTAGAGGTGTGGGTAGGTGATTGTCTTCCATAGTCTTCTTGAGCTGTAGTGGTAACTGTCACTGGCAGGAAGCAGTGCTTTGGGCTTGTTCTACTATATCTCCAAGAGGACTGGGCTCCCTGCAGATTCATCAGATTCCCTTCATCCCTCATCCTTCAACTCTAGTCCAACTCCTGGCTGCTGGTCTAGACTGTGACTGTCCCAGGAGCTTTAATCCATGCAATGCAGCTTGATGGGCTTCTTAGAACTCACGGGATCTTTCCCTTTCATCTGCCACTCAACGTTTGCACAGCCCAGCCCTCCCTCCCTCCACTCCCACATCCAGAGATCTAAGAGTCACAGGCACTGATATAAGGAAGGCCAGGACTCATAATGCACTTTGGGTATTTATTAAGCAAGCACCATGGGCCAGGTCCCATTCTGAGCCATAAACACACAGACCAGCAGCACAAGGCCCTGCCCTCAGGGAGTTCAGATAGGGTAGTCTTCATCCACACTAAACACAGTGGCACAAGGTCACATTTCAGTAGCAGAGATCTGAAGTCAGTGCGAAGATAGGAAATTCACCAAAAGACCAGGGATGGGGAAAAGGAGAAGAGATTCAGTAGAGGAAGAAGCACAGACAAAATATGCAGGTGTGTGATCCTGAAACCAAGTGTGTGACCTGTTACGCCAGCAAGGTTTGGATGTGGCAGATGATGTTTGCTCATGGAATTTATAGCTGAGGAGGGGGCCAGTCAGCCAGACCCACAACCCTCAAGTCAGGCAGGAAGTCCTAAGTGCTAGTTTTAAAAGAGTTGTTACAAAAGGTAAGAGAGAGCTTTGGAGGGATTTCCGGGAACTTCATGAGCTGTATTTTGAAGACATGAAGAATAGATGGAAACAAATGGGGGAATGTTCTAGAATAAAGCAGTAGAGTGGGGTTCGTTTCTATAAGAATAATTCCATTGCTAGGTCTAGACCCACCAGTCAGAAGTGGCTCTAAGAAGCTGGGATGAGACTTTCTCTCTCTCTGTGCAGGGGCAGGGAATAACATTTTGGAACAGTGAGTTCCAGGCCTTTGGCTACTTCTCAAGCTTCAGTAGCTGGCCTGGGTGTGTGTTGGTTGTGGACTAAATGTGAAGCAAGGGGTATGTATGACACATTTTCTTTGGCTTAAATTTTTTTTAATGCTTTGACAATAAAACATTTCTATTTCAATAAAAAAGAAAGATTGGGGTATAAAATATGTTTAGACTCTTTTTAGGATTAACAAAAGTACAAAGCAAAAGAAATTGTGATTGTTTCTAGAGGCCCTTTAGTGTGTATACTATGGTGTGGCCATGAAGTCAACCAAGGGGAAGACTCCAGAGGCCCTGACATTCTTGGCCAGTATCATTTCCACAGCAGCTTTGTGAGGTAGAGACTGTTATGCCTACAGGTGAGGAAGCTGGGCCTCAGTAACATCCTTGATGTTACAGAGCTAATCGGCTGCAGCATCAGAATTCAACCCAGGATCCGTGTGTGTCAGGCCTGTATTCTAATATCAAGTGTCAGGCTGAAAGAAAGGTTACACAAAACAGAACAATCATGACCTGCCTCTAAGGAGTCAACCTGGAGGAGCAGAGAGTCAGGACAAGAAATACATCCTGGCCACAGAGATACATCATCAAGGATATAGTGTCATTCTCACTCAGCTTCTTTGAAGCCACCTCTTATCCCTAAGATGGAGTGTGACAAGCACCCAGCCCTGGATTTGTTCCCGTATCCAAAGGAAGAAGTGCATTTCTTCGAGTTATTTCCTATGTAGCACTGTGTTGCAGGACCCAGACAGCTAAGATTCATAGGATAGCCCATTCTCCCAAGATGCTCCTCCACAGTTCCCTTGCTATGACTAGGAGACGTCTGTACTCGATCCAGTATTGGTGGGTCTGAAAGGAAATCAATAGTGAGGACCTCTAGAGACAGTTTCAATTTTCTAGACCTCTTATTTTCTGTTTGACACTCAGTGAGACAAAAACACTGTGTTGACATTAAAATCAAGAGACTGATGTTTCATAGCAGGAAAGGGAGCCCAATATAGAGTAACCTGAGGCACATAGAAAGTGAAGGATTATTCGGGCAACCAATGAAATGGCTCGTTTGCTAGGAGATGGTGGTTATCGTTTGTAATGGAATGTGACCATCTTCCTTCTGTCCTCTTTCTTTCTTTAGGATGTGTTGGGAGAGTTTATCGAGAAACCAGCCAACATCCTGAAGATCCTCCGGCCACCTCAAATACTGCTGCTTCTGGACGAATCCTCTGATACTCTTATGTTTCATCAGTTGGTACTGTGACAGGGACCCGACAACCACCATGATGAGGACACTGTTGAGATCAGATAAACACTTGCTCTGGGCATAACTGAAGGCTTCTAGGCACCACCCGTCCCTAAGGAAGTGTCTACTCACAAGGCACACAGTCTTCCTGCTGCTCCAGACCGCTGCCTGGATATTGGTTATGTGGTTTTCTCCAGGGACAAAATCTCTTTCTTCAAAACACAGGTTGAATCTGTTTTGGTCACAGTACTGAGTGTCCAAATGTTTAAGCAAAGCATTCTGTACCCATTCAAAATCTTTGCTACTGAAGCAAAAATAGGCATCATATTTGTACATATCAGACTCTGTTCCCTGGGCCTGGTCTTTGAATACCAATCTCCAGACTGTATTGTAACAGCTGAAACAAACCCCCCGGAACTTTGTGAGTATGAGGATGGTCATGAGGAACAGAATCAGTGTGACCGTGAACAAGAGGAAAAGAGAAAACCTTAGGTTCTTTAAGACCTCTTCTATATCACAGCCGACTGTGGAAACATTGTACAGAGAAACCCCTACAAATGAGTCTGGGTACATGCAGTATATCTCGGTGGGAGAGCCATGTATGGTGACATTGGTTTGGTTGAGCCAATGTACAAAAGCACTAAGTTCACATTCACAAATGAACTTGTTATGAGTTATGTCCAAGAACCTAAGTGATGTAAATAAACCAGGATCTGGAGATAGAAGCTGGTTCCTGGATATATCTAGGACCTCTAGATTAGCAGGTAAACTGTTAGGTGAAAGAATGGTCAGCCTGTTGGAGTGGAGGCTAAGCCCCCTTAAGGCGATCAGGTCGCTAAATACACCAGGTGGAAGGAAGTTAAGGTAGTTATTATTCAGATATAGAACTTGGAGATTGAAAAGACCCTTAAAAATATCCCAGCAGGATCCAGTTTCCCAGGCAAGTTGCAGCATATTTTCTCCAAGGTAGAGTTGTTGTAGGCTGAGATTTCTTGAAGGAAGATTTTGTGGCTTACAAGAGGAAAGACGATTCTGATTTAAAATGAGAATCTGGAGATCAGGTATCTGGAGGAGGAAATAGAGCTCTGCCAGATTTTCTAGCTTGTTCTCAGCCAACTGGATAAAGTTGGCTGTAAAGCCGATGTTTGCCAAAGTCACCAGTTTATTTCCACCCAGGAAGATAGTAGGTATGCTTGGAATAAAATCAATGCTATTAAGAGCATTGTCCCGGAGATCCAAGGTCTGTAATTTCGCAAGGAATGTGAACGTTTCTCTTTGAATGATCCCAATGTGATTCATTCGAAGGTCAATGTAAACTACTCCTGGTAGCCCATAGAAGTTGGAATTATAAAGTTCCCCTAAAAGGTTATAAGATACATTGAGAATCTGGAGGCTGTCGAGCCCATAAAATGCATTTACTGCAATTGTGTTTATCTTGTTGTAGGACAGATTCAGAACTTTCAAGTTCTTGAGCTTCTGAAAGACTAGGGATTTCAAGGAGAAGATAAAACCATGTGAAAGATCCAAGCGTGCTACGGAACTTTGGGCCAGGCCAGCAAATGTGTTCTCATCAGGATCTTTGATGTTTTGGAATCCAAAGCCAGAACCCATAGTATGGTGGTCCAGAATCAAAGAGGAGACCTTGCTTCCCCAGATGGCATTGCAAAAGTTTTCCGTGATGATGGCTGTCCAGCCATTGCCAGAAACGTCAAGCGTGTCCAGCTGCATGCTTCTGAATGGATTCATGCACTTCTCCCAATCCACCAAGACTCTGATGTACAGGTTATTAGCTTTGAGGCTGAACCAAGAGAACACTTTTCCTTGGAGGGGTTTGAGCTCATCCTCACATACAGTGAGTATTTGATTGAAAGAAAAGTCTATAGACTGTAAGGAATTCAATTCCTGAAAGGAAGAATGTAGGGAAAGGCTACTGATCTTGTTCATGGAGAGGTCCAAGCGAGTTAAAGCACTTAAATTTCTGAAATAGCCATCTCGTAAGACAACATCAGAGAGGCCACAGGCAAACAGTCTAAGTTCAAACAGTCGTGATAATCCCTGAAAAGCATCTGGATGCAAGAAGTCCACATGACTTTTGCCCAGGTCCAGGATCTTAAGATTGGGCAGGTTTCTGAAGGCCTCTTTGCCAATTGTCAAGGGAGTGTACTGGGTTCCAAGCTCTAGCAGCTGGAGCTGCTGCAGGAAGGGGAATGATGTGGCAGTGACTGTCGTGATGTAGTTGAAGCTTAGAAGGAGGGTCTCTGTGCTGTTGGGGATCGGGGGAATCTGGGTGAAGTTGCAGAAACGAAATAAGGCTATCACGCCATCAAAGGAGCAAGGAGAAGTTCCAAACACAGGACCAGCCACGAGCACCACTCCTAGGAGAAGGTCAAGGTGATCTGCCATGATCCTATGGAGAAGGAATAGGAAAACATATCGTTTAAGCTTGAGGCACTGCTCCTGGGTCTGTTGTGCTTGCTCCTTAAACCCCTTTGCCTAACTCATAGATTGGGAACTATTTTGGTAGAGTACATATTACCCGCTGTAGAAGAGGTTTTTCTCACTGTCTATCAAGCCTGTAATAATGCATTTTCTGCTCCCTAAACATTATTCTATGTTTTTTTTCTTTTCTTCTTTTTTGTCAGTTGTGGGACTCAAACTCAGGGCATTGTCCCTGAGCTTTTCTGCTCAAGGCTAGAACTCTAACACTCTGAGCCACAGTTCCACTTATAGTTTCCTAGTGGTTAATTGGAAGCAAGAGTCTCATGGACTTTCCTGCCTGGGCTGGCTTTGAACTGAGATCCTCAGATCTTAACTTCTTGAGTAGCTAGGATTACAGGTGTGACCCACCAGCACCTATCCCTAAACATGATTCTAGGTTGCTTTAAAATTACTTCACCTGGGCTTGAGGATGTAATTCAGCAATAAAGAGCGTACCTAGTAGGCACAAAGTCCTTGGTTAAATACCCAGTACCAAAAAACAAAAAGCAACTACAAAATCTTTTATCTATTCTTTATGATAAGTATCTTGTTCAGGCATTCAGGATTTACTAAGGGAAATTCAACAAAAGCACAAAAGAAACACATTTTTGCTTTACTTCAACCAGGGAGCCCATTCCCAACATAGAAGACCCAACTGATGAGTGGTCAATAAACACATTGATTTTTCTGCTCCCATCTTTCCAGGCCTCTAGTCTATCTCCACTGAACTGTGTGTCTTGCCATTCAGACATTAGGTACTTTATATATTAAAAATACACAAAGAGTCAGAGTTGATCAATTTAATAAAATATATTGAGCACTTGCTTCATGCCTGATATTTATGTGACTGTGTGAGTTTACAATAAACAAAACCACACTTACTTGCTTGAGTCCACTAGGGAGATCATCCATCTATCCAACTTGAATACTTGGCATGTAGCAACAAGAGGTGCCCAAGAGGCCAGGTGCGGTGGGACACCCTTGTAATCTCAGCTAATTGGGAGGTGGAGGGAGGAGGATCACTGTCAGAGGTCAGCCAGAGAAAAAGTGTGAGATCCTACCTGAAACACAAAGGCAAAAAAGGGCTAGGAGCCTGGCTCAAGTGGTAGAGGGCCTGCCTAGCAAGAACAAAGCCTTCAATTCAATTTCCAATACTGCCCTTCCCCTGCCAAAAAGGAAGTCCTCAAGAAATAGTCCAAGAATTGTGCTATGTCCTATGAGGAGCAATACAGAGAAAACCCCACGTTTCCTTGACAAAAGTCTTCTTCTGCTCCTCACATAACTGAATTTTCACAGCACTCATTCCCCAGAGAGCAGTCCCTGTGGGCACTCAAATAACTTCACTGTCCCGTTCTACCACTCTCTCACAAGCCACCCCGGTTATTTCTGTCAAAGCAATTCTATCCTTCATTTTTGTGTCTACTTGTTTACTTTTATTTATTGTTGGTCTCCTCTGAGGGGACTTTCCTCATCAATGCAACAAGTTATTTTGAATTGCATTTTTATCAACATAACTTCCGGTAAAGAGGTGGTTCTTGATGGAGACATAGTCATTTCAGGGAGCATATTCATTTTTGCAAATGGATACATGTGGCAGGGTTGTCCTGGTGACAGGAAGCGTGCCCACAGGAGGTGGAGATGAGGAGGTCCATGAAGACCTGTACCACGCTGAGTCATGGCATCCACAACAGCATCTCTAGCGACGGAAACTGATTCCAAATGACCTCATCTGTACTGTGGCATTCTAGGAATGCCAGTTCCCTGTCCATCTGGGGAAGACTGTACTGCGTTCCATCTGGACCACTGTTGCCCATTTCTGAAGGTCACATCCCAATGGTCAATGCTGCTGTGTGGAGGTTCAGACTACACAATTCACAGTGCCCTTCTACGTTCACAGGGAAGCACATTTACTTGGCCTTCATTTCAAAATGTCAAGTGCTATAAAAGTTTAAGAAGTGTCACTTCAATATGATCTTACTTCCCTTAAATCCAAATGTATTCTTTAGAAGACTAAGACATGAATGCCCACCCAGATAACTCACTATTTTCTAGTAGAGTTGTGTCTCAGCTTTCACATAGGGAAAGACTGAATGAAGCATTATAAATTACTTTTCTTTTTAATTTCTTTTCCCCCCCAATAACCCAGTGAAGGAAGTATATTGATTTCTTTCCATTTGTATGTGTAGGAAGATGTTATGATTATGAATTTCATTTCAAAATACTTAAGGGGTTATTATAAAAAGGGGTCTAGATCTGACAGTATTGTAGCCCAGGGATATAAAGTTTCCAGTTCTTTCTTTCCACATTCCTCACAGGCACCCTGATGATGATGATGATGATGACTAAAACCAGGATTTTTTTTGGTCTCCTACTTATTCTTTCTCTATATATATTTTGTAATTGTGTCTTTTGTGGGTGACCAGATTGGGTGATGGAAATGGAGTAGCCATTTTCTTTCTTTAATGAATTTCTTATGATCTTGTTTAATGATCTTGTATTTATAGATTATACATACAGGTGGAAGAAAGGCATATTTTGGAAAATGGGACAAAGTTCAAAGTAATCTCAATAGATAACTGGAGAAATTATTGAGAGAAAACTGAAACAAATCAGAGCAGATGATTACAGTTCAGGAAACCCTCCCTCCTCCTTTCCTCCTCCCCCCCCCCACACACACACATAATACCTCTAGAGCAAACTGCTGCGACAAGTCCTAAAACCAAGGTCTGGGTTTCCTGGTATGCAGTCATGAAGCTATGATTCTAGCAGCTAATTCTAGAGTCCTGGAAGGCACTGTGAGAGGAAGTTTAAGCCCTTCTACAGTAGAACCCCACCCAGGGTGAAGATGTGCTTCAGACTAGACATGGCGACACAAGGAGGAAAGGAAGGGTAGTGGAAAGATGACACCTATACTGAGCTTTAATGAATCTTTCTCATATCTTAGAGTGTAAAATGGATTCTAATTTGACCTCCAAGGCATGAAAGAACATTAGCCTTACACCTGCAGATGCTGTGGTGCACACCTGTGCTCACACTTACACACTGCTTGGCAGCAGGCAACATACTGAAGTACTTTACATGTGCTATGAGGTCATGGGTGTCTTAGAAAATCTGCCAACAGATTCAAGTCCTTGCATAGTGTATCACTAACCAAATTTTGCACCTGGGTACAGAACAATCCCCGGTTTCCAGAAGCTTTCCCACTTCAGTGTGCTATGGAGAGCAATATATACATACAACCATCGTGGTTTATGTTCCAGAACAGGAGTTGGAAAACATTTTCTGTAAAGAGCCAGATGGTAAATATTTTAGGTCTTGCAATCCAAACATAGACTGAACTCTGCTGACCGCTGTCCTAGAAGAAAAGAGAAACTTTGACTTTACAAATGAGGATTTTAAGTGACCATAAGATAAACACGTGCTGATGTTGAACAACCGGTGTTTGCAGAAATAGCCAGTGTGACCCCGAATTGCTGACCATTTTTCAGTTGCTCTTTTATCCACACATAGGAATGATTGCTCATCTTACAATTGCATCCCCATAGACACAGGACTGAGAATGCCAGCGCAGAATATAGAGTTCAATTTCTTGGCTGAAGTTCTATCGTGTTATGAAAGATTCAGTGTCAGACTTCAACTGTCTACTGACATAGGTGGTGTGACCTTGAATTTGTGGTAACAATGAGTGAAAGACAGACCCAAACAACCTATATCCCAAGGTAACTGAATTTCCAAACCTGCAATAGAGAAGCTAGAATTAAAGTAAGCAAGTGGATAAAACCAGCTGAATAAGTAGGACTTAAAGAATTGTTGGGGCTTATCATCTTATTATAGAGATACCATGCAGACCTCTTTTATGAGGTTCAAAAGGCAGGAAATAACTGCATTTTTAAACCTCTTAAGAACCTCCTTGAGGGTCAAATGGCAGGACAGGTGAGCAGAGGACCAGGTGAGGTAACTGGAGAGCCAACCTGTGCTGACAGCAAGGGAGAAAGGAGTGGAGAGGGAAAAGGGAGAGCTAGAAGACTAAACTTCGTGGGGGGGGGGGAGGAATATGTTCCTAAATAAACATTAGAAGACTAAGTTTTAAAAAGCAATCCAGACAATTATTTCTATAGGTAGCTATATCAGATTTTACACACACACACACACACACACACACACATTGCTTTCTATGACCCAGGGCCTTGTACATGTTAGATAAGTGCTAACCCCACCCCCCACCCCAACCCATATATTCCTTCTTAGAAACCACCACACTGGAGCAGGATGTGGTGTGCATACCTGTAACCCCAACTTGGGAGCAGAAGCCAGAGGATCTCAAGTTTGAGTTTTACCTGGGCTAGATAGCAAGACTATCTAAAAAAAAAGTCATGGAAGTGGCGCTGTGGCTCAAGTGGTAGAGCGTTAGCCTTGAGCTGAAGAGCTCAGAGACAGTGCCCAGGCCCAGAGTTCAAGACCCATGATTGACACACAAAAAAAGTCACTGCACTATTCAAAAACCAAAAAACAAAAATATAGGGGTTTATGGAGAAATGAGACTAAAATACATTAAAAAATTCATGAAGGTAAATTGATGTTAGGTGAAATGAATCCCAAGATAAGTATTCAAATGTTTTTGCTTTCATTCAATTGTTTCTAAAATATTTATAAGATGATTTCTTTGTTGCTTTGTATGTCCCTCCCCCACGGTATAACCCCTGCTTCCACTGTATGTGATATTGGTATAATTTGTGGAGGGGAAGGGAAAAAAACAAATCATTTAAATAGGGATCCAGGTGGACCCATTGCAACAATGAGATGTACAAATCGTTATGTCAAAAACGAACTTTACAACTTTGGCGGGGTGGGGGGGGATAGAAGGGGAGATGGGAATGGATGGGAAGGGGAAACAAAGGAGGAGGCAACAATGCTTGATAAGAAAT